CGAATGGGACTTTACCATATTTCTCTTTTTCATTTTTAAAAACAAGCAAATAATTTAGTCTTGCTGGTATTGCAGAACCACCTACTGTAGAGTTGTGAGGATGGCAATAGGAAAAAATGGCTCTAAGATGAGTACTGCAGAGTCTCACACTTTAACTAGTGTTCTGTAACCAAATGCTCCTCTTCTCTCAGCTGGCCAGCTCTGTAACCTCAGTGACAATGTCAGCAGTCAATCAGCTGTCAGAGCCTTCCTTGATGGAGGAGACCTGAACCTCTAGCATGCATATGCATGTAACCTATAGCATAATAAACTAGGGTATGTATTTAAAACAGCAGCTGTCCCACACTACCTTCCTCTAGACACTTCTGTTGTAAACTGGAAGGGCCTTTTTGCAGTTTGTCTTAGTTTTAGTACAGCAAACCTAAGATAAAGCAGAAGTACAGATTTCAGAATAAACAGCAGGGCAGAAACCACACAGAATTTAACAAAACGACAAACTTCATTTGGAAATATAGACAATTCTATTGAAACAACAAATAAAAGGGGGAAAAGTTTTTCTTTGTTTTCAGTAACGCCTCCTTTTTTTTTCATCGTGCACAGAGCACAATGAAGTGAGCTTCATCAGGATCATCTTCCAACAGGAATTCAGCCCAGTAATTTCTGTAAACCCAGGTGGACCCTTTTAATAAGTTCCAGTTTTACTGCATGTTGCCATAAAAATTATGGAGGCATATAGGAAGACCAACTACAACTTAAATTACTAACATCACCAGACAAATAAGTTATTTTTCATGCTGTAACATATCACCTTTCAGAAGTATCTACAGCAAGAAGCACTTAATTCTGCTCTGTGAGCTATCATTATCTGTATACAATCATACTCTATTAGCCAAAAAAATAAAAATAACTCTCTAAGTGTCAATAACAAATCCTGAGAGTGACAATTTGGGGGCCGTGTTTCTTTCCTCAGTCCGAATTTGCAAAACCTATATTCTTCACTATATACTGTAATTGCCATGCAATATTGCATCACCATCCTGTGTCTGTGGCAGAGACAGGGAAGAGGGTGTGTCATGAAAGTACCTACCTTAGTAAATAAATCTAAACTAGACAAGAATACCCGTACTTGGTTACGTCTTCACATACAAATGTTTTCTGCGATAACTATTCCAATTCAAATTCAAGACCTATTTTATGCTCAGTTACTTCCTTGCATAACTAAACTACTAGGGAGCAAACCATCAAAATAACCAGACCTGATCAAAGATAGACGTGGTCCATAACAGACCCTGATCGCAACACAGAAAGCTGCTTTGTAGAAGGAAGAACCAGAAGGACAGGATTACACATATTGACTGTTTTTATAAAGATCTCTGTATTTTGTGTATAGCTTAAATTCATGCGTACTTCAGTCTTAAATAGCAACTTACTCCTGCGATCCTTGATTTGTGCTGTGTTCCTGCATGCAGTCCTGATGAGAGTGGAGCTCTGTAAAGCGTGAGGCTCTGGCCCTGCGGTAGCCAAGCGTGTAGGGGAGCTTGGGGAACTGAGATAGTGATTCCAGAGTACAGATACTTGAACTGTTGTGCCACCAGGTATGTCAGATACGACATCTACACCTAAGAGCTACTTCCAAGCCAGAACAGTGACACAGGGCACCTAACACTGTGCAATTCATAGCTTGACTCCCTCCCATAAAACCGATGCCCATCTGGAGAGCAGGACCGAACAGGACGCCGATATCTTCAGTCTTCCCTCTTTTAGTCATTCTTACCATAACTGGAGCTTTTAAATCATCAGAAATTACTGATTACTGGTCAGGACTTCCAGTAGCAACCCACGCAGAATCTCTAGTTACCTCAGTTACTTTGAGGGAGAGTGTTACCAAAAAAAAATTTTTAATCCAGATATTTAATTTTCAGAAGCAAGAATGTTTAGAAGACTGACAGATGAAGATGGTGTCCTTATTTTATCATACACGCAAAGCAGATAAAGGGCATACCATTTTTTAAACATAAATGGATAAGTCCGTATTTTTAACACGGATATTTCTACATTTTTCGAACAATAAGATTTTCCCATTTTACATAACTAATTTAAAACGGAAGCTCTGGAAATCTGAGATGGAACACTGGCTTTTGCATCTTGCTGATACACTAAAGATAGAAAATAAAAAGCTTTAAAATTATCTCCATTAGAACACATACATCACCTTACTAAAGAAGTGCAAAAACCCTGTGGTATTTTCACATTAATGGCTTTAAACATTTCAGTATTTCATTTCTTTAAACTTCCTTCTTCTGCATGCATTGCGTTTCTAGTTTCTACTCTTTGGAGCGCATGTGCTGCCATTAAAAACAATACAGTTTACTTAAGTCACTTATTTTTTCCTGCTCATCAGTTCTGAATCAACTGTATCTGTAGCACAAGGATTCAATTGTCACCACGAAAAAAATTGTTTTTAATCGTTATTATAATGTCACTTCAATTTTCAAACTTGGCTACTGCTAAATTTACCATGGCCATATTTCTGTACACAGCCAACGGTTTCAGTGACTACAGCTCTGCAGAACATGCTTTCCCCAAAAACACTGTTTTAGAAAATGTGATTTTATCTCACAAGTAAGAGCACTCTCTAGCTAGGATCATCATCCTGAGACACAGCAAACAGAAAAGGAGTGAACTGCTGGCTCCACAGACTACCACACTGCACAAAAAGATTCAGCATTCCTTGAAACCTAACAAAAAAAAAAAAAAGGATTAGTTGTACTGGAGCAGCAGTCCGTGGCATGGCAGATGCATGCGAGGCGAGACCTGGGTTTAGTTCCTGCTCTGTCACAAGCTTTCTGAGTCATCACAGGCAAGTACTTCCGTGCCCTACAGAGGTTTTAACCAGCTGCACATCTCAGACATTAATATAACAGGGAATTAACTACTTGATAAGGATACTAAATTAATTTTATAGACCCTATTTAAATATATTTCTGTTTAGTAGTAACTAGAAGTCACTATACAGAATCACAGAATCGTTTAGGTTGGAAGGGACCTCTGGATATCATCGAGTCCAACCTCCCTGCTCAAGCAGGGTCACCTAGAGCATATTTCCCAGGATCACATCCAGACGGGTTTTGAATATCTCCAGGGAAGGAGATATTAAAGGAGATACATTAAAGGACACTGTTAAATTATGTTAACATCTCAATCTTCACACTAAAATCAGTAATATTCAAACTGCAATTGCTATTTACTTTCCAGAGAAATGATCCAAGTCCTGAAAACATACGGGCAACTGGCCTCTATTCTTTACTCAAGGAGGCAGATTAGGGAGACAAAAGAAATCTGTAATACCCTTCTCACTAGCTGTACTTTATTTAGTTTGAAAGCTTCCTTCTAATGCATCAACTCCATATTGATATTCTATGGAAAGCCAAAAATAGCAACCTTTCTTTAGGGGAACCCTTTTATGATCAAAAAGTTCTCACCACTTTCTTAGGGAAAATCCATCAGCCCAGTTATTGAGGCAGGTGATTCAAATTCAGCAGAAAAAGAGCGCTCAGGCTAGAGAATTATATTTTCTTTTACTCCTATTAAATTCTGTCCAGGCATACATAAAATGCAAACAGTCACTCTCATTATTTCATTTATTGCCTAGGAAATGCTTCATGGCATACAAAGTTAAAACCCGATCATAATCGTTCTAAGTCAGGCCTGGGTCACTCTCAGAAAATGAGAAGACACAAGATGACACAAATGCTTTGGAAATCACAGGAGTAGATGCATCCTTCTCCTACCTCTTGCTCTTTCTCAGCACTTTCTAAATTCAACATATGGCATGATGTTCTTTTCTCTACAATATCATCCCCTCTTCTGTTATGCAGTACTTAAGTCTACGTCGCAGTGATGAACCTGGTGCATCAAATCCTAACAATGACTGATTAGCTAGAGCTTAACTTGGAAACTATATTATTTTTTAACCTTTTTCCTTTACAGAAGTGTTACAAAAAATATATTAGGTTTGAGGATCAAGCATTCACAAACTAGGAAATAATTAAATTTAAAGTTTCACAGGCCACCCTAAACCTACTCCCTCCTACGCATACTCAGGAGCAGCCTTTGTGATATAATCTGTTCCCCACACTCCGCTGAACCCCTGCTCTATCCAGTAGAGAAGCCCTGGTGCACCCATGGAAGAATTATGACTGTACAAACAACAATAATTTTCTCTTTAAACTTTTGAACACCTGATTTAATTTAAAGCTGTTTAGAGGTCAGTATTCGTTTCTTTATGTGCAGAAAAGTTCTCTTAGAATTTCTCCTTTATATGTGCTGTTTAAAAAGAATATCTATCTCAAATTCCATTATGGAAGGCATATTTTTTATTTGTAAAATATCTTTTCTAATGATTATACCTGACCTAACACAAAGCCAAGCCAAAATTTTACAATGCACCATCAACAATAACTATTCTGCCAACCAAATTATCCCCTCGTCACACCAGTGCAACCAGTCTTCCAATTACATCCTTAATGTACCTGCATAAGCACATAGATATCAGCCATGTAGAGATGAGGCACGTATAATTTTCTAACTTAATTATGTTGACACTTTCATGCTCCAAAAAGGGAGAAAAACCCTGTGAACGAAAATAGTTTTTATGATTTTTAATTAATATTATAAATTGGGGTGTATATATATATTTTTTTTTCAAAACAGGCACTCAAAAATAAAAAAAATCTGTGGAACAGAGCCTTTTCAGTTTTTATGAGAAGACAACTGCACATGCATATAACAAGAAAGAAAAGAACAAGATTTAAGGCTCATCTATACACAAAACTGAGTAAGTCTGCATCATTTTAAAAACGAATTTCCGATAAACATGGGATGTTTATCTTGTACACTTTAAAACAGAGTTATATATGTATAAACACACAAATGTATATAGAAGCCCATTTCAAACAATTTCCAAAACAACATTAGGCAAATTAAGAAAACTGAGATACCTGGTCATAAGGCTTGAACAACTTCTGTGTCCTATGTTTGGTCAAAAAACTGACAGAAGTTCACAGACCTGAGGACAAGATTAAGGTCTTGGTACTATGTTGATATAATAAGTTATAGGCAGTCTAAGAAAACAGTATTTTTCAAAGAGCAAGTAAAAGCCGTAGATGTTTCAAGAGCACCTGAATGCTTCAGTAGCACTTTAAAAGACTGCTCAGTTATGTATTTCTTAACAGCTTTCAGATATCATTACAAACACTTGAAGAAAATGGTTTATCCACAATACAAAGAAAAATCCACCAGCTATAGGCCTCACAACTCCAGGCAGGCACACAGAGCATGTCAGGGTGCAAGGCCACCGTTTCTATAACAAAAAAAAGCAAACTCCCACCAAAAGCGATGGTTATGCTGCCTACCTTTTACCCATTTTTTTTTTCCTCTCTTTAAGGTAACGTACCCAGCAACAACAGCCTTGCCAAACTATGTGAGTGCTTATACTGGCAAAAGGAAGACACGGAAAGCCAGCGGCCAACACAGGGGGGCCCCTGTGTCTGAGCTGTGAGCCTGCGCTTACAGGGACCCAAGTGCTCCTGCCATGACATCAGAGGGCAACTTCTCTTGCAGCAGCACTGGCACTTACATGACCATGCAGTAAACTATTCTGGGAGGTGAACCAGAGGAAAGTTACCCATTCCTCACAAGTGATTAGTTTTCAGCTAAACTTGGGACTGATCCTGGCCACATTAGAGCCAGCATCACTACAAGTGAGCAGCAACACTATCATGAACAGGATTATGGCAGCTTCGACAGAAACTGTCTTCCGTTGCTTCAGAATTGTACCCGCCATGTGCTACACCTTGCTCAGGATTACATCTTCCTTTATTTCTGCTTCCCAAATGATGATATGTTAACAGCTATTAATCACACGTTTTAAAATCAGAGGAAAAACTAATTTAAAAATCCTCTTCAAACCAGTACCTACGTCACATTTCAGCCTAAAGCAAAATGTAGTGAGTTTTACAAAATAGAGCTTATAAATTCAGTATTTTAGTTATCATCCCCTTGTAAAATATAGAAGACAGAATATTCTCTCACAAAAGATGTGTGATACACAGTAAACGGAAGTAATAAAGACAAGCCTTTAAACATACCTACGTTTCTAAGCTAGACACCAGCACTACAATTTTTACATAAAGGAATATATTTTCAGGTATCCTCTCCTCAAATTTAACACTAAGCTGTTTCAAAGTATTCCTCTTCCAGTTAAAACCTTTTCAATTTCTTGACAATCTGTACATTAGCCAAATTTAATGTATATTTTTCCTTTGCATATATATTTCCTTTGACATGTTTCATCTGAACGCATGTGTTTGAAAGTAACTCCTAAGTAGTATAGCATTTTAAATACTCTTCCTTGACAGTGTTCAAAATACCAACACAAACTCCGAAAAAACACTTTGGTCTTTTATCAAAACTAAGTTAATTTAGTTTAGTATCATATGTGAGAAATATAGGAAAAAAACTTTAAAATATGAACTTAAAGACCTTATGCCACACAAGCCAAAGTTCAAAGTGAACTGCCGTTTCACTTTAAAGGAGCTGATGACTAAATTTTTAAGCAATACAAGTTGCTACAACCTAGTTGCTTTTCTTCACGTCTCAGCAAGGTCATCAATTGTTACAAGAAAAGACACAAGACTGTTTTTAGATAAGGCAAACAAAAAAGGAAATGGTCAACAACAACTGTCTGAAGATGATAAAGCTGCACTTTTAAACCATTTTCCCTGCCTGAATATATGCTCAATAATTTTTAAAATGTGTTTCCAGATGCAAAAGGACAAATACCCCCGTCACCATTCAAATAATACTCTATTTTCCTGCTG